TCTATTCAATTTGTATACTCTTCCTTATTAAGTCAATTGTTACTATTACTACTCTCACTTTTAATTGTCCCCGGTATTATTTCACTTGTTCCACTTGTCATTCTAAATCAATTCCTTTATGCAACATTAAATTCTATGCTATTAAATTTCACACAATATTACGTAACGTTTTTATTTTATTCGATTTGTCTACTAATCTCATAATTGTACACCTTTTTCAAGTTCTATCCATTCTATGAATTATTCTATATATGACATTAATTTGCTTTGCCACTTGACCTTTAACTACGATTATAATCACAAACATTTTACTTTTAATTGCATTTCTTCTTATTATTATTATTTCATGCATTCACACCTATGTTTCAATTCCTTCACCGGATATAACTTCTTAAAAGCCATATATACACGATTGTACAGCTTGATGATAAATTCGTTGTTGAAATGAGTCTCTTCACTGAATCACTTATTATTTGATCTAGCAACACACTGTCATCGGTTAAATTTTTTATCTATAAATCTATTCTCAAGACTTACTTTGTAGGGATTCTATTTCTCTCAGATAGGATCACAGATTGAAAACCAGTCACAAGGAGTACTGCACAGCTGTTTTATCCTAGTTTGAGACTCCTCGGCAGTACGCACCCACCGCCATAATTCGAACCCGTTGACCTTGTGGTTACAAGGCAAGCTCCTATACCATCCAACCACTGGGACTCGAATTGGAAGAAGCTAGAATTCATGAGCCGTGAATTCATCATTTTAACGCAACCATTAGCCAAAGTTATCAGCCGGTCGGTCGGTTTTCGACATAGAACTTGGCACATATGTGCGGAAGTTCAAGTCGCCACACTCCCTCCTTCTAGCACATAAAGCAACAGAAGAAAGTAGGAGAAGTGCATGTTAGAGACAGTAAACAGAGGTGTGAGACAAAGGAATAGTAATAACGAAGAACAAAACAGTTTCATTGGAAATCATAAGTCACACGGAGTGGATGCATCTGCGCTAGCCATTGAGAACGATTTTGAGCCATGTCACCAATTGTTTCCAACCATTGGCTTTACCATTCCGAGGACCCCAACCAGTCAGGAAGTCTACACCTTCCTACGTACCATTTTTTCGTTTGACCAAAGCTAGCTCTTTTCCAGCCTGACCCTATATCAGCTAACATTGCCCATTGTTGAGGAAGGCGATGACTAGGCATGAATGCGTAACACATGTCCTAACCATCTCAGTCGATGTAGCTTCACAGTCTCGTCGATTGATTTCCCCGTCTTACCTAGCACTCGACGGCTAACCTCAATATTGCTCACCTTATCATACCACTTCACACGGGAGATAGAACGCAGACACCTGTGATCAAAGACAGCTTATCTTTTCATGTCTTCCGCTCTCAATGGTCAGGTCTCACAGCTAGCCATAAAGGAGGACGGAGCGTACTGTTGAGCAATACACACGCCCTTTGGTCGATAGTTGGATATCACGTCTACGCCAGAGACGGCGTAAACTGGCATATGCGAAACTAGCCCTCTCTGTTCGTTCTGAGATTTCGTCAGCAATCGACCCGTTGGGGCTGATGGTGCTTCCAAAATAAGTGAAGTGGTCAATGTGCTCTACCACTTCACTTCCTATTTCTAATCTAGGAGTCGGTGTAGTCCTACATTTTCGGTCGGGGAAAGTTATCGGCAGTGAGTAATTGTTTTCACATTCAACCTAGTGGATTCTACTGGTCACACACCTTCTCACTGGAAATAACGGGAAATTTCGCCCTGTGACCAGTCACTAGCAAGCATCAGATTGGCTGCTAACAGTCGCACCATATCGTGAATTGGTAGGAGTTGAAATTCATGAAAGTGGTCAGTGGATCAAGTTCCAATAGCTGAATAGTCTACAAGCTTTCCTTGGCACCAGAATCTCCTGGATTCCAACTGTTCAATACTCCTCTTTGCTGATTTTCAATTGTTGTCTAACTGACAATCAGTGAATGTTTAAACATGAAACCAATCAAATCCCCCCTACAAACAAATTCTTGAAAATAAAAGTAATTTTCTCACAATCACACACCACTGAGCCCAAATAGCTAGCTCAGTGGTAACGTTTCTGACTGCAGCACTCACTGGGTGTGACGCGAGTTCGAATCTCAGATGCAGGGACATGAGTTGTTCCTTCAAGGTGCTTGCAGATACACCCTGCTGACGAGTGGGTGCCAATTAGCACGAGACCTAGGTCAAGCAAGACTTCCTGTGGTCGATTGCCTCCAAATATCTAATATTTATTTTTTAAATACCATACCATACTTGGTCCGTGTTCTAAGCGACAGAGACAATGTTAAGTGCGAAACCTATGACTTCCTTTGTTGTTAATGACATAATTTTAGGCTCTTTTATTTCTCTCTTATTTGTATTCTATAGTGAACACCCTCTTAAACATACTTAGCTACCTAAATTACTAACATTCGCTTACTTTTTTGTACTTTACTCTATTCCTTCTTTTGTGTATCTACTGGTTCCGACTACATTAGCACTATGAGTAGTACAAAATAGTCCTGTCATTAACCATCATGCAATTATTAGTTTTTGTGGTTGTTGTTTGTTTTCTTGTTCGGCATTATTAACTGACAATCTTGATTGTGAACGCCATTATCATCATCTTAAAATTTTGTATTATGCAGGATTACTCACACTTCCACTACAAACACCGCATCAGACCTGAAAATAAAAACCCTGAAATGTTATTTTATGATTGTTTAGTGTTGTTTCAACCTAAATTAACTGATCATCTTGGCGATAAACATTGTTAAATATCATTTCATAACTTCTTGTATGGCTATAGCTTTACTGTCACCACGCATAAACATAGCATAGCTTCCACTACCCAATACTGAGATATTATTTATTATGTTGTTTATTTTCCTTTCTACTTCTTGGTACTTTTTCGCATTTTTATAATTTTCTTTTGCGTTTTTTGTGACTTTTTGCTGTTGTTGTCTTTATATTTATTTTTTTTCGAAATACTCCTTTTAAATGTTTGGTAAAATTAGAAGCAAATATTGTAGATATGTGCTGAAAATTCCACACTGTACCACTAGTACTGTTCCTGGAATAAAGCAAATTATTATTATTTTTGATTATAGCTTGATTCGACACCGTATATTTTCGGTACAAGTATGGAATGCACAGCATGTGATATCCGTAAGCTAAATTTTGCAGGCTGACCATTTGATATCAGGTGTGCATCGGCAGGGGCTCGAACCTCGGGCTGTGTGCATGGTCGTCAAGACTCCTAACCACTGTGCCACTGATGCACGCACTATGTGAACAAGTTTCGAGTACACCCCACCCACGCACAGAAAGAGACAAAGAGACAAAGAGAGAGATAGAAAGGAATAAATACATTTCATTAAATGAATTACGACAAATATTATAACTCTTTGTGAAGCGAATAGTAATCGTGAAAAGTAGATTGGAACACAAGATGGCATAAAGACACGGTATAAGACTAGATTAGGGACATTTTGTTGTTGTTGTTTACATTCGATGAAGAGAAAACAAAGTTTGAAAAGCAAAGAAAGAAAAAAAAAGAAAAATAAACATATGACAAAACAAAGAAACAAAGAAGAATTAATTATTGGGGCAAGGAAGAAACCAAGACGTAAACTGAACGTCTCCTACTGCTGCTTTGAGATGATGGCTATTCACATCTTCTTTGTAGAAAGTAATCAGAAAAGAAAAGAAAAACAGATGGACAAAGAGGAATGAGGGAGACTGAGGACCAAAATAGTTACGTAATAACACAATGTAATACACTACACTTTGTTTCTCTTTTCTAACAAAGATGTACACACGTGAAGAGAATGAGCAAAGGTACGCATCGAATTGACAGTTGTTCACCTTTTTTTTAAACAATTGAAGAGATAAAAAACAAAATGATGAGAATTGAGAAAAAATAAACAAACATAGGTGTCAGTCGTCTGTTCTATATTCCTTGACGTTCCCACCTGTAGTGGAACATACACACATAGGGCGCCTTCAAGCTAGAGAGCACTGAAGTTTCGTAGGCGTAGTGCGTTGCTAGCCAGCCTCATGTCCAACCAACATTCCCCGTTTAGGGCGAGGTTAAAGGAGGAGGAGTGCATCTGTGACCAGGGATCGAACCTCGGACAGCATGAGGTTGGCGAGCATTCTACCCCCGGGTGCCACCGACTCACCAAGATGCAAGCCAGTAAGAGGTGTAAAACTGTTTGAACTATGTGGTATCAAGCAAAATGCGAAGGGGACGTGTACAGAAGTACCTTTTGAAGATGAAATCACCAAAAAATAAGCAAAGATGTTTGTTCCACTGATGAGTTAGTTATCCTGATTACGTCATCGATAAATAAGATGTGTACTCAATAATTATTGTCTCTGTTCACTTGCTTTCACTTGTATAAATACCAGCAGAAAAACAGAAGAATAAAAATAAGAAGAAGGAGAACTTATCAATAAATGTGTAAATAAGTAAACATCTATTGCGCGTAACACAAGCGAAAGAGGATTATGACATTAAGAAATCAATACGAACGACGATCATATATGTATATAAATATATTCATGAAGATAATTACGTCATATGGGTACATCTATGTATGTATGTATTCATGTATGTCGTAGAAGGTTAATTAAACATTTAATGAAGAATGAATGAGAAAAGGAAACGATAATCACTCGAATTTACCTCCTCCCACCGCCCTCGAGACTCCAGTTATACTCTGAGCAATGACAATGACGATGAAAGGCATAACATAGTACTTATAACAATAAGTAAGTAAGTAAGTATAAGATTGTATAGGGGTATAAGATTGCCTTTACAAATATACATCGGAAAGTAGGCTCTATACAGATACAGGGGGTTGGCGTTCCTTAAGTGGTTTTTAGTTTTCTCCTTCTCTTTGGTTATTTCAGTGTATGTGTTGAATAATTTTCATTTTTTCGATTAGGGGTATCGATTTCTATTTATTTTGATTAACGAATTTTCCCAGTCGTTTCATTTTCATCACACTAGAAGAACGAAAAAAAGAAATTTTAAACAACAAAAATAAAAAACAAGTGGAGAAATTCAAATATACCAGAAAAACTGTTTCCACTAAGAGAGAAAAACAAGACAAAAGGAAAACTTTTCGAGCTTGACAACGGAATGATATCATTGGTTACAGGATTTCATCATGAGCTGACATTGGTTAGAGAACCATTGGATAATCTGGAGGTAATGGACAGCTGTTTTGTCAACCTAGTTTGGGACTCTTCAGCAGTACGCACCCACACTGCGGGGTTCGAACCCAGGACCTTCTGGTTACAAAGCGAACTCGTATACCATTCAGTAGCCGCTGGGACCCGATCCAATGGCCCATGAATTCTAATTTCTGCCAATTCACGATATAGCGCAACCACTAGCCAATGTCCTCGGCGAATATTTGTCCTCACACCCGACCTGCTGCACCCTACTGGTTACGACTTCTCAATGGAACCCCAGGTTATCCAATGGTTCTCTAACCAATGTCAGCTCATGATGAAATCCTGTAACCAATCAACCAAATCTTTACAAACCAAAACTGGAATGATATCAGTTAGAGAACTGTTGGAAACTAACCAGGGATACTGGACAGCAGTTTCATCCTAGTTTGGAGATCATCAGCAAGCAGTACACACCAGGATCTTCTGGTTACATCGCAAGCTCGTATACCATACCATTCAGCCAGTGGGACCCAATTCAATGGCCAGCCCATGAATTCTCAATTCTCCCAATTCGTGATTTCTGGCATGATCACCAACCATTGTCATCAGCGAGAAATTCATCCTCACATCCTGACCTAGCTGGTGATGACGACTTCTCACTAGAACTCCAGGAAACGCCATCCTGTAGCAAGTCACTAGTGAGCATCAGATTAATTTTCTATAGTTGTTAGTTTGCAAGGAAATTTCTGGGTTCTAATCCTGACGGTGGGTGCGTACTGCCGATGATTTACAGACTGGGATGATGAAACAGCTGTCCAGCACTCCACAAGGTGGTTTTCAATGGTTCTTCAATTGATGTCAATCCATAGTCAAATTCGTAAAAACAAAACAAATCCTTACAAACTAACCACTATAGAAGACCGATGAATGCGTTTACAGCATTTAATATAAGGGTACTAAAATTATCATCATTATGCATAATTTGTTTTCTTCTTCTTATAACAAAAGATAGGATCGAGACTTAACAAATTACAAATGAACACTCTTCAACTGACAATATTTTAAAACTAACCAATTTTTCTTCACTATGTGATTTCAAATTGACCTAATCTATGTTTTAGTTTATTTCGCGGATGACTTATGTTTGATGTCACACAAAATCGAAGAATTACAAGCGAAAACCGACAAACTGGTCGAAGAAGCAGCAAAGACAGGACTCCAGGTGAACAAAGACAACACGGAGGTTATGAAAATAACCAACCAACAACAACAACGGCAACAGCAGCAAAATCCAGTGCCAATCACCATCAACGGGAGGGATTTGAAAGAGGTTACTTCATTCACTTATCTAGGGAGCATTCTCTCAACTACAGGAGAAATGGACGACGATGTCAAATCGACCGAGAATCGGGAAGGCGAGAAACACATTCATCAACCTGAAACCAATCTGGAAATCTTCCGCTGTCACTCAGCCTGCATCAACAACAAAATTCGGATTTTCAATACAAATGTCAAGTCAGTCACTTCTTCTATACAGATCAGAAAGTTGGCGGGTCACAAAGAATATTTCCAACAGCCTGTTGCAGACCTTTATCATCAACAACTGTCTTCGCTGGCTCTATACTCAAGATCAGATGGCCGGAAAGAATCACCAACAAGAAACAAGCTATGGGAAGAAACAAAACAAGAACCAATCTCCAAACAAATATGCAGGAGAAAGTGGAGATGGATTGGACACTCGCTGAGCAGAGGAGGCCGCTGGGTGACATCGCGCGTCAGGCCATAGCTCGAGTGGAACCTGAAAGGGAAGCGGCGAGTGGGACGTCAGTGCAAGGGTGACATGGAGGAGATCGTGTGAAGAGGAGTTGAAACAGTATGGACTAACATGGATGCAGGTGAAAAGTACAGCAGAAGACAGAAGCAAGTGGAGACGTGTAGTTTAAGCCCTATGTTCCACTAGGAACCCAAGGGAACGATAATAATAATAACATGTTTTAGTTTATAAGAATTTGTCAGTCTAGATTTTGAGTTGCTTCTAAATGAATTGGTTACCAAAGCAGAATATTTAGACAGTATATAAGTAGGGAAATTTCTAAACTCAATTGTAGGCCAAACTATAAGATATCCTGGCTGATGGATGAACTTTACCAACATCATATATCCTCCTATTGGTGTTATTAATTTTCGGCATCAAATTAAAAAACCATTTACCCTCGCCTAGAAATGGCTTCATTCTTCAACGTATAAGGTCCAAGGTGGATTTCCCCTACTTTATCCATAACAGTGTCTTAGTCATCGCAGCTTCAACGGTAAAACGCTCGCCAAGGTTCTAACCCCGGTCACTGACGCACTCTTAAACATCGCTAAGTTGACGCGAGGTAAGGCCAGTGAAGAGGAAAGTCTTGAGCAAGGCTAGCAACCATACCCCGTTAAAATGTAACAACTGCTACCGAAAATTGAAAGCTCTTGCTAGAATCTCATCTCCTAACGATTTCTAAGAAAGTGTTCCGTCTAACCTACTACATTAGGAACTTAGACAATCTGGAATCACCCAACCTCTACCTTCACAATTTGTCAACTCTTGTATCTTACCTATTCTACTTTACTGCTCCCCGTTAATCTTTCCTGCGTTACTGAAAAAGGACTATACCATCCTGAGAAGGATGTTGAATGTAATTAGTAGGATCAGTGGTGTAAAACTCAGTCAGCTCGTCACCACATTGGTAGAAAGGCATCTGAATATTTGCGAAAAATCGTCTACAACCATACTCTCCGACCCCCAACACCCCCTCTATTCCCAACTCTCGCCTTGTATCACATCAGGTAGAACCAGAAATCAGTATAAAATAATCTATGCTCGTACAACCAAGTACAGGAACTCAACGATACCATATTTGGCCCGTGTTCTAAGTGACAGAGACAATGTTAAGTGCGAAACCTATGACTTCATTTGTTGTTAACAAGATAATTTTAGGCTCTTTTATCTCTCTCTTATTTTGCATTCTAAAGTGAACTCCTTCTTAAACATACTTAGCTACCTAAATTATTAACATTGGCTTCCTTTTTGTACTTTACTCTATTCCTTCTTTTGTGTATCTACTGGTTCTGACTATATTAGCACTATGAGTATAACAAAATTGTCCTGTCATTACCCATTATGTAGTTATTAGGTTTTGTGGTTGTTTCTTTTCGGCAATATTAACTGACAATCATTGGTTGTGAACGCCATTATCACCATCTTAAAATTTTGTATTATGCAGGATTACTCACACTACCACTACAAACACCGCATTAGACCTGACAATAAAAACAAAACAACAACCCTGAAATGTTATTTTATGATTGTTTAGTGTTGTTTCAACCAAATTAACTGATCATCTTGGCGATAAACATTCTTAAATATCAGTACATAACTTCTTTTATGACTATAGCTTTACTGTCACCATGCATAAACATGTCATAGCTTCCAATAGCCAGTACTGAGATATTATTTTATGCTGTTTATTTTTCTTTCTAGTTATTGGTATTTTTTTCGCAATTTTTAAAATATTATTTTTGTGTTTGTGTGTTTTGTTGTTGTTGTCTTTATATTTATTTCTTGAAAATACTCTTTTTAAATGTTTGATAAAATTAGATGCAAATATTGTAGATATGTGCTGAAAATTCCACACTGTACGACTAGTACTGTTTCTGGAATAAAGCAAATTATTATTATTATTTTGTTCTTTCAAGGAATGTTAGGGAATAAATATCATGGACGCATAAACTTTAGATCCTGATGAAGAGTAAGCGATTATCGAAGACAATATGCATTGTGTATTATTTATCTCAATCTTTTCGTGTTCATAGCACACATCTTGAATCAATAAAAGAAGGATAAAACATTGAAATGCACAGTATTAATCACTTACCAGTATATGCGTTGTTTGTGTTTCTTGTGGATCATAAACTTCATCCGGTTGACCTGAACCATATGAACAAAATGAGAATAATTCATCCCCATCGTCTGGATGACATGAATCACCGCCTACAACGAATACAGATGATGGTAGCCCCCCACAGTAGACTTCACGATATGGATCATGTCTAGCCAACCAACGTAACGGCATAAATAGTAAACTTGATAAAATAAATAATACTGCACAGATATAAAAAGCTAGAATGATACGCATTGTACAATCTTTATGAAATGCTAACGCAGGTGAAAAGTCAGGTGTGGAGCCAGGTGAAGAGATGATCAAAGAGGAGGATGAGGAGGATGTTTCAAAACATCTACGACAAGCTTGGTCAATGAAAAATCCTGTAAAATCAACAAATAACAAAAAAATTAATGGTGAGATGATTTAGCATTTATAGAATTCGGGATTTTGCTAAATTGTATAGTTTCCTAGCAAAAAACAAAATGACACCATTTATATTATTAAAATAGATAAATACCGTGGATTCATGTGCGTCGGTGGCACAGCGGTAGAATGCTCGCCAACCACACGCCTCATATGCTCCGGGGTTCGATCCCCGACCACTGATGAACTCTCCTCCTTTACCTGGCCTACTCTAGTAATAAGAATGGCAAAGAGGGGAAGTTGCGCATGAGGCTGGCTGGCAACCCCATCCTGTAAAAGTTAACACTACTGCTAAAGAAACTTCATACGCCTGTAGCTTGAAGCCCTATGTTCCACTCGAGGGAAACGTAAAGGAATAAAGAAAAACACAAAAAGGTACTGTGGATTCATACTGCTAGAGTTGTTGATCATCATGAATTCACAGAAGGCAAAATTTTCAAGAATTTTCTTTTTGTACGCATCCAGTTTGTTTGAATTTTCATTACAGACTAATATCATAATGAGATAACCATTGAAAACCAGCAGGGAGTAGTGGATAGCCAGCTGTTTCATCACTCTGGTTCGAGACTCTTCAGAAGTACGCACCCTCCACAGAAGAAGGTTTCAAACTCAGCATGTTCTGGTCACAAGGCGAGCTCATAGACTATTTTAACCAACAGGCCTTGGACTCAATGGCCAGTCAGTAAATTCTAGCTTCTAATACTATTATGATTATTATTATATTATTATTTCCTTTCATTACAAGACGAACATAGGGCTTCCGGCGAGCGTCTCCACTGCATTCGATTCTCTGCTAAAGTTCTAACCTGGCTCCAAGTCTGCCCAAATGCTTTCATCTCCTCTTCACATCTGTCTGTCTGTCTGTTTTCGACATACAACTTTGCACATATATGAGGCAGTTCAAGTCACCACACTCCCTCCTTGTAGCACACAAAACAACAGAAGAAAGTAGGAGAAATGCATAATATAGACAGTAAACAGACGTGTGAGACAAAGGAATAGTAATAACAAAGAACAAAACAGTTTCATTGGAAATCATAATTCACAAGGAGTGGATGCATCTGCGTTAGCCATTGAGAACGATTTTTTGAGCCATGTCACTAATTGTTTCCAACCATTGGATTTTACCGTCCTGAGGACGCCAACCAGTCAGGAAGTCTACACCTTCCTACGTGGCTTAGACTAACTGTTGTAGATTTCATTGACTGGTGTCATGTTTTGGTTTGACCGCCACTAACCAGCTCTTTTCCAGCCTGACCCTATATCACCTAACATTGCCTGTCGAGGAAAGCGATGACTAGGCATACGTAACACATGTCCTAACCATCTCGGTCGATGTAATTTCACAGCCTCGTCGATTGATTTCCTTTCCTTACCTAGTACTCGACGCCTAACCTCAATATTGCTCACCTTATTATACCACCTCATGCGGGAAGTAGAACGTAGGAACCTATGATCAAATACAGTTAATCTTTTCATGTCTTCCGCTCTCAATGGCCATGCGTCGATGGCACAGTGGTTAGGACTCTCGCCGACCATGCACATGGTCCGAGGTTCGATCCCCTACCGGCGCACACCCGATATCTATGGTCGGCCTGAATTTGGGCTACCGATATCCATGCTGAAAATTCCATACTTGTACTGAAAATACGGTGTGGAATCAAGCTGTAAATCAAAAAAAAAAACCATCAAAGAGGACGAAGCGGACTACTGAGCAGTACACACGCCCTCTGGTCAATAGTCGGATATCACGTCTACTAAGCCAGAGATTGCGCAAACTGGCATATGCGAATCTAGCCCTCTGTATTCGCCCTGAGATATCGTCAGAGATCAACCCGTTGGCACTGGCTGATGGCACTTCCCAAGTAGGTGAAGCGGTCATCGTGCTCTACCACTTCACTTCCTATTTCTAATCTAGGAATCAGTGTAGTCCGGTCCTGTAACATCATCTTAAATTTTGAGGGAGCGAATTGCATGCCAAACACAGGAAGATTGTTGCTCAAGGTGTTCAGAAGACTCCGCATTTTGTCAGCGTCCTCGCCTAGAAGGAGTATATCGTCTGCATATTCTAAGTCAACGAAATTATTCCCTGGTAGCAAGTCAATCCCTGAGTCTCTGAAGTGAGTTAGGGTTAAGTCCATTAGTACGTCTATGAAGAAATTGAATAGAAATGGGGATAATGGGCATCCTTGACGGACGCCACTGATCGTCACCACTTCAGATAACAACTCGCCGTAAGCCCTCACCTGATGAAATATAACTTGCATGATAAGAGGACATACTATTTATTTATTAATAAGTGTATCGATGGTTCAGCGGTAAAATACTGGCTAAACATGCACATAGTCTGGGGTTCGATCCCGGGCTGGCACACCTCCCCCTTTAATCACTTTAAAGTCTGATAAAGGAGGGGGTTAGCCTGGGAGTGAGTCTAGCAACCTCATCCCGTAAAAATAAACACCAGTGCTACTGAAACTTCAAAGCTAACGCTTGAAGCCCTATGTTACACACATGGAACGCAAACTGACTGACGTAGAACTTTGCACACAACTGCAGAGCAGTTCAAATTGCCACATCCCCTA